AACCATGTTGAGCTCCTCCCTGAACGCCTTGAGCTCAGACAGAACGCGCACGACGCAGCAGCGACGCCTCTTGCCTGCTTCACCAGCTGCCCCGCTCCCACCCGAGTCCCCGTCCTCTCCGCCGTCCTCCTCTCCCTGCCCCGTGTTGTCCACCACCTGCTGCTGCCCCTCTCCACCGCGGTTGAAGGCGGTAATGGCTTGCCTTGTTGCCGCCTTTTCCGCCCTGCACGCGCTGCACTCGTGAACGCGTAGGGTTGACTCGCCTTCCCACAGCCCCATCTCCATGAGCAGCTGCTTTCCTCCTTTCGGCAGGCCGATGAGAACAAACGGCGGTGGGGCCAGTCGTCGTCGTGGTCGTTGGTGTGCATGGGAGAAATATTGGCGCCTTCATGGTGGGAAGAGGGAGGAGAGTCGTTGCCTACAGCAGGGTCCGCAGGGCGCGAAGGGGCCTTCCGAATCGTGCCGTCGGCGTTCCCTTTTGGCAGCTTGCGCTTACCCTTTGGGCGACCCATGTGCCCGGAGCGCGTGTGCGTCTTTGGCTTACCCTTTGGGCGGCGACCCATGTGCCCGGAGCGCGTGTGCGTCTTTCGTTGCGTGCGTAAAGGGTGTGTGTGTGTGTGTCCTCTGGTGTGTGTGTGGCGGGAAAAAATTGCCCGAGGGCGTGTGAAACCACCCGAAATATCTCCGAAACCCGAGTTTTTTTTTGAAATCGGAAAAAAATCATCGGTGCCATATTATGTACGTACTTGTAGTGGCACACCGCACAACAGACGTACGTAAACTCTCTACCGTTCACCTGCATGTACATCTACCGTTCACCTGTTAAGGACAGGCAGGGATATTTTGTACGTACTTGTAGTGGCACACCGCACAACAAAGTTTGAAACGTACGTAAACTCTCTACCGTTCACCTGTATGCGGTAGGTAGTGTGTGTGTAGGCTACGGCAGCACTTCAATACTGCTAAAATACAGCGTCTTTGACAGTTTCCGTGAGATGTGCATGATGCATGTTCGAAAACTCAAAGCACAAGCCAGCTTTGGCGTACCACAACAATAAAACTAACTAACCCTGATCAAATCCTTCCTATTGCAGCAGTAGAATAGACCTGTACTTGCCACTTGGAGGGTGTATTATGTGTATTTTAGGCATATATTTTATGTTGCCTTGTGCACTTACGTACGTACGTGAAGATACACGATGCACGTGAGGACTTGGAAGTAATTACCTTCAGGTAGCATTGCTTACGTGGAGAAGGTGACGACAGCGTCTGTCGGTATCTGGTTGACATCACGCCGCACAAATACAATAAAATCCTCCGTCGGTGCTAACTACATGTAACAACAACTAACTGTTGAACGTGGTGGTCGGTCATGGTTTATGAGCTGCGTGATTCTTTGAGGTAACAGTCCCTACCGTAGACGCGCCCGCATGCAGGAGATTTAGCCACTTCACGGTGCTGTAACTCGGCTCGTCCTTGGAGTCTAGAGCTCGCGACAGAGGCGCTGTGATCGTGAGGGTGGCACGCCCATGTCGGCGAAGACGGCCGAAAAAAGGTTAGTCTAAACCCCATTTAAATACAATAAAAAAACCGACTTTACCACACCGCAACGTCTAGCTCAATGACTGAAATAATGGTTGCGTGCATTCACCGTGCTGTAACTCTACTCGCCTTTGGAGTTTCGAGCTCGCGACAGGGGCGCTGTGATCCAGAGACTGGCTCGCTGCAGCGGGCAACAGCCAGCGAAAAATAAGTCTCAAGGCGACCGCGAACTGATGCACCGAAAAAAAACGTCTTGCTTTTAGAGTGCAACAATGGTTGAACTCTTGCGTCTCCGGCCTCCGACATGATGGTGTTGGTTAAGTCTATGCCAAGCGCTCCATCATCAACACAAGCGAGCAAGCAGCGGTACTCCTATGATGCATGCGTTCCAACTCCTCCGATACTCCATTATCCGGTCAGGCATGCTTGCTGGCGTGGTCATGACTCACAATTGTGATATCAGGTCAATAGCGCTCAGGTCGGGTTCGTTCACAAATAAATGCTCGTGCTTTTAGTTTCCGGACACAAAAGGTCACTGACGGCAGGCGGCAGGGTAGCTGCCAGCCGTCATTCGGATGAACCGTTTCATCATCGCGCGGGGAATGGCAATCAATCGGAGTTCTTCCGTTGGATTCCGTTATTGGCCCGAGAGACGGTTACATCTTCTCGGGAAACCCCCCTCAGGGCACTTTTTGTGGTGGTATGCACGCGTGATGAAGTCTGGTAGATCCATGAAGAAGACTCACTTGTTAATACTCTTGGAGAACAGCAGCAGTAGTAGTAGCTGTTGCCTTGGGTATCGGTAGGAATGACATGAAGGGGCGCAGGATCCTCTGTACAAGCAAGGGCTACTAGATCCTGTCCCCTGATTTATCCTTCCGCGGGGAATTACACCCTCCGCGCCTTCTTGAATGAACCGTTCTCTTCTATGTTCCGTCTACACATCTGAATCCTATAACACTAGCCCACCCACCCAACAACGACGGATATACGGTCCCTAGCACCGTTTAGGAGAGGATCCTGAGTTTGGCGGTCGGGAGTTACCGCGGTCACGAGATCGAGGTAGATCGCGATAAGCCAACTTGGAGACAGCTGCCGATGGGTTTGAACCCAAATGCCCCGGTTTGGACGCCGGGGCAAGGCAGCAGTGGAGAGCACGGAGAGGGTGGCGGGATGATCGCACACCGTGTGGGTAAGCACCCAACAGGGGGACGGAAAGGGTCCAGAGCTGGAGAGTCACGCCGCTCCGGGACAGGAAGACACCTCGCTGGGAAAGGCAAGCACCGGGTTAAGTCTAACATTAACCCGAGGATCCGCAGGGCAATCAGAAAAAAAAAATAAAAAAGGAAGGAAGAAGAGGAGGAGGGGCCGGAAGGTGCGTAGGCTGATTAGGGATGCAGCACGCACC